GTACGCCTCGGCTCTGCTGCTGAACGGGTACCAGACGGTGGAGGACCTGCTGCACCTGCAGGAGAAACACCTGGTGGAGCTGAACGTCAAAGACCCCGAGCACCGGCGGAGGCTCCTCGCTGCAGCCGAGTGTCACTATGTAGAAGGTCAGCAGCTTCGCCACACAGCCAGTTAATGTTCAAGATCATCAGCAGAAAATAATAAACTAACAGGTGGCTCTGGTGTCACCTCTGCAGAGATTCAAAACGTTTTTTATTGTTTCACATTTTTTAATGGAATGGCCGATGAGGTGCAGGTGTGCAGCCGTTAGCGCTGTCTCCTCGCAGCGAGAAGCAGCAGGTAGATTTTGATTGAGACTACCTCTCATTTCTGACCATAAGCTGCTAAAACACAATGGCGCCCTCTGCTGGTGTGCGTTCTCATGTTCGCAAGGTGAAAGATCAGATTTTTGGTTCTTTCAGGAATTTAAAGTTACAAACAAGGAGCTGATTTGAATGAGAACTAAAATAAAAAATGACAGGCTCCTTTCTTGTGTTCTTGTAGAGGCAACTTCCAGTTTTCCACTTTTATAAACTCTAGGAATCACACGTAAGCCTGCAGTCTGGCGTATGGAACATAATAATAGAAGGCAGAGCTTAGTTATTTACAGATTGGATTTTTCTAAGTAACTTTATGTAATCTGCTGTAATCAAAAGATTAAAATGATTTAACCTAATTAAACACACCTGCGCTGTCCAGCAGAGTTTCCCCATTACCTAATCAGAAAATGAAGGTTTACCAGAAATGAGAGCAGTGCTTCTTTAGCTGAGATTTTAGTGCCTTTAGTGCAGCGGGAGGCTCCGCACCTACTTCCTGTTACTCAGGCAGAAAGTGCTTGTCAGGACAGAAGGGGTTCCTCTAATCTGACGACTCCAACAAGTAGGCTGGTTGTCTCACAGGCCTGACTTAAAACAAAACTCTGCTCTGATGTGAAAAGGGAACTTTGTTCCTTTGTGGGTAATTTGTTCATGTTTTTTTTTTGTTCTTTTTTTTACTGAATGGGGCTCCATGTGGACACATTGTGTGCTTGTGTTTGGGCTGCTCAGCAGATGGCAGCTGCTGCGTCTTGACACGGATCAGTCGTTTAATCAGCGCTGCACTCCGTCAGGTTCTGAGAGGGAGGATTAGTGGCTCCTGGTGCGTAAAAAGGCCGGTGGAGCCTCGCCGCTCCAACAGATATCGATCTAGTGGTAGTAGCTGAGACCGGTCCACTCGTGGTTTGTTGGCCCTCAAAAGACCAGTTGTAATTAACGTCAATGTTTCATGTTTAACTTCGACTAAACACAAAATGTCACATTCCACGTTTCATTGCTTCGGCTGAGCACAGCTAACAATAACTGAGCTCTACGTGGTATTTCCTGCATAGAAAGAGTTTTAACACGTCCTCTTATGAACACTGAGAAGTAGTATGAGTACAACTGACTGAATGTGACATAWATAATACAGAAATACTAATATGAGTAAAACTAATTGATTTTTACTCATGTGGTGAGTAGCTGTCATCATGAAACTCTCCCACTTTCTCACAGGGAATACCCACTGAAGGGGGTGTTCCAGGTTAAATTCACCACTTGTATGTGGGGAAATTCCCACTTCCCAGTACAACTGTGCTGCAGCAAAAATAGCTGCAGAAATGCAGCAAAATGGAGATTACGCAGCAAATTTTACCGGTTTTTGGCTACTTTTAAATCCTGTGCAGCGCCACCTGGTGGTGGGTTGCCATCATTTCACTGGTAAAATAATWAACATGCATCATGGGAAAAGTAGTTTTTGGTCAATGCTGGCTTCACAGCAGCATTTGCTCAMTTTAAGACATTAATACATCTTCGAAGCTTTCTCAGGCCATATAAAATGCTGGCCACATTTTGCCCGCGGGCCTTGAGTTTGACATGTGCTCTGAGGAATACTAGCCCTTTAATTGTAATAAATCAGATMAAATTCAGCTCTTCACATTTTCATCTAAACCTCCACCGAGAGCATCTCTTGGCACAGATTWGATCTTAGATGTGRGTGGAAGCAGATTTCTGTGATGTAYTCTATAATTTAATGTATGTTTCTGCAGGTGATGATGTCAMCGACGCAGAGGACAAATCGTCCCACAGCCAACAGGAAGAAGACAGCGACTGTCCAAGAGACTCGGGCTGCTTCATCCCATCAGAGTGTTCAGACACTAAGGAGGACCAGGTCACAGACGGGGTGGAGGCTTGAACTCGTCGCGTGGATAGGCTGACGTTTGGAAGTTTTGTTAGAAAAAGTAACAAGATTTAAAGAACTGATCCCTTATTCTTTCCAAAACATCTTCTGTTATTCCATTTTCAAGCTTTGCTTTACTGTAAGAGCTTTTTAAATGTGTGACACATGAAGGAAGACTGGGCAGGAATGTCATCTTATCTTTTTGTTGCTTTATCAAAGAAAAAATTTTGTTTTGTTGTTTAGCTTAGATTTAAAAAATGTTTAAAAAGTGACATTTTGTTGTTTTAACGTTTGTCGTATTTATTATTCTGCAAATTGTTCAATGTTTTTTTGTAAATGTGTACGCCTTTATTTATCACAGCTGCATCTTTTTTACATTTCCTAACACATCCAGTCACAGTCCAACCTTCAGTGGTCAGTTTTTTCTTTCCTACGAATGTTAATGACTTTGTCTGGATCATGGCCTAATATCTATACTGTACATAACACGTGTATTATTTTCTGAACATAAATCTGAGAGGGATGTGCAGTTGTATGTGAACATGAAAATCAGTATTTATCAGTTTTCACAACCTTTTGTAAATAACACAATAAAGCAAATAAAAAAAACATGTATTTTGTTTAAGTTTTGGTTTGGGGACATCAGTACTTGCAGGATGAGTGTACAAATAATCACGAGTTAAATACAGGTCCTTTTCAAAAAATTAGCATATTGTGATAAAGTTCATTATTTTCTGTAATGT